TTGACTTGTAACCCTACTCTCTTCCAATTGGGTCACCAATCCGGATTGCGCTAACATCAAATAGGGTAGTGAGGTCCGATCTGCGTTATATGGAGTCTGCCGTGCTAGTTTGGGAAAGTTGGCTAATTGAATATAACTTATTTAGAAAGCCATTCAACCTGAATAGGTGGTGGTGCTATGAAGTCTATCATGCCAGTTGGGATTGTGAGCTTATATCAGAGTTAGACCAGAAGCCTTTTCTCATGCAATCTTCCTTGCTTCGACCTGTTTTTAACCCACGATCATTAGGAAGACCAGAGGTCACATCTTCATGCAGCCTAACTAGATTTGGAAGTAGATTGTCAGCTGATTGGGTATGACATGAATTGGAAGTCGATCAACCAATAATAAAGGTAATAAATTTTTGTAACCAGGTGGGGGTTAAACTCTAGACCTTTTTCTGGTAACTTATAAAGCACTACTACTGTACTATAGATCTATAGATCTTATTATATATATAATTAATAAAGTTATTATTACAATTTAGATATAAAAAAAACTTTTTTCCACAATATTTCAATTTGTAAAAAATTTTCTTTTTCGGTAATGACATGAATGACAAATGGTAAACAGTTAACAAGAACCTTTTACTGAAAAAAGAGTTTATCTTTGCTTACTGCAAGGTGCAAGGAGTTGATTAAATCTTCATAGAGAGGTGAATGCTTTGGAGAGAGCAAAAACCTTTTCGAATAAACTCTTTGCTTTATCAAGTAAAACCTATGTAAGCAATCTTTAAGTCAAAGAAAAACCTTTTTACTTATTTCTATACAAAACACATTCAAAATACAAACAATAATCTCTCTACTTAAACATTCTTAAAAACTATTTCAAAAGACAGTATTTTATTTTTTTCGGAGTTTTTTGTTTTCTGCACAGTTTTTATAGTTTTCACATAATTTTCCTCTTATCAAAAAACTGCATTCAGTTTACCTCTATTAAAAGATCTACCATATTTAATACGCCAATCAATATTTGTACAACCTTCAAAAAAAAAATTAAAATGATATAACAATCTATCAGATTAGAAGAGTACAAGTCAGTACCCTACATGGGTTCTGATAGTATCATCAAAACAAATCCAAATCCAGAAATACTATACAACTCTGTTTCATGACAAAATATAAACCTGAAATTAATCCATTATACAGTTAAAAAGCTAAAACATTATATGACCAAATCCATCAAGTTATATGTGACTTGCACAGTGTTGACATCTAACTGAAACAAAACAACTATATTCAGAAACCATATTTAACAAAAGTTTTAAAAAATTTCTTTCTTTTCCCATCTTATCTAAATCTTATAATGTTAGCGATCTTGCCTGAAATATTTTTTTATTTTTATTTTTTATAACAAATAGTTCCTCAGGTTTTTCCTGCTCAAGGATTTTTCAGATAATATATTTGTTTAATAGGTGGTAGGCTAATATCTATAGTGATATAATTCATATCTTATATTAATTATGTAATAAGTTAAATTTTTACTTTATTAATAAAGATTATGAATAATGCCTCACTTTAACATTAAAAAAAAACAATTTAGATATAATATATTATTTATAATATTAATAATTTAATAATTTGCTTTTTTTTTTTTAAGAATTAAAATATAATATATAAAAGATTTTTATTATAAATTAATAAAAATCACAAATATTTTCAATAAATCCATGCGTGTATCGCAACTTAGCCTTAAAAAAAAAAAAAAAAAATTACAAATATTTATTATATTGTTATCACTACCGGCGAGTCTGTCGCTAACCCGGGGCTGGACCTTGCTTTATGATAGAATAGATTTGTTAGGCCTTTGCTTAACTCTTGGATACCGCAGCCTTGTCTTATGGCGTCCTTCATTATTTTTGCCCTAACTTGATTCTAGGTTCTGTCAATCTACTATACAATCGACGATCTACAGACAAGAAAGGTAAGTTTATAATTAAACCATTGTGTGAATTTACAAGTTTTGATGTTTTAATTAAACAGGAACTTCTTTATTAAGCAATTGTCAATTATTACATTTTGATTCTACTTTACAGCTATTTATATTGCTTGCAAGGCATCCTTAAATCAATTGTCACATCCTGCAAGTTTTACAACAAGCTTTTACATACTTTTAGCCCTTCACTGATACATAATCTGATGCATCTGACCCTCACTGCGCCAGACCTGGTACCCAACCCCATATCCTTATCCCCCATTTTGTCATGCCTCTTTTTTACCCATGTAATTATTATGCTAGCAATATAAACAGTCTATTAATTATTATTAATATTAATTAATAATCTATTTTTTTATTACCAAAATATTAACTTGTACCTTATAAATGGATCCATATTTTTATTTATACTATATTTTTCTTATTTGTAAATATAAAATAAAAAATATACTATTTAATAGTTGAAAAATCTTTCTAATAATTTTCTTCTTTAATTTATAATCTAACTTTTTTGAAAATAGATTATCAATTTGAATTGTGCCAATATTAAATAAAATAATAAAAAATCAATTGAATTTTAGGATTTGCTAATCCAATCTTAAATATTAATTAATTAAATCCAACTTATTTAGAAAGTTAATTAATTTAAATAGGAAAAGTTGTTATAGAATCTATCATATTAATTGAAATTATAAGTTTTTATAAAAGTTAAATTTGAAATCTTGTCTTGGGCAACCTTTCTTGTTTTAATCTGTTTTCAGTTTAAAATAACAAAAAGATTAAAGATTTTATATTTATATAACCTTATTGAATTTTGATATAAGTTAAATGCAACATATATAAAAAAATTAGTAAATTTAATATAAAAATAAAATATAAAAATAAAATATAAAAATAATTTATATAATTTGCTTTTTATAAATATTCAACTAGAAATATGTATTGGGAGATCTATAAGCATTATGAATTATGCTATTTATTTACAAATTTTAATTTAATTATTTGCTTTTTTAATTCTAAAGTATTTAAATACATATTTAATATTTTTAATTCCAAATTTATATTTTAAATAAAAATAATTTAAATATTATTTGATAAAAAAATTTTTAAGATAAAAATTTTGAAAAAAGTTAAAATTTCAAAGATATTAAAATATTGTATTAGTTTTTATATTATTTTTAATTTAAGAAATTAATTAAAAAATTTTATATCATTAAAAAATATTAAAAATATTTATAAAGTATTTGAATAACTAAATTTAAAAAATTAGAATAAAAAGTTTATTTTATTTATTTTTAAATTATTTAATTAAATAAAGAAAAATCAATAAAGAATTTTATAATTATCATTAAATTTAATTTCTTTTTTTTTAATAAAAGAATAGAAAATTTATTATTTTTTTTTACTTGAAAATATTATTAACTAATTACTTAAAACAATATATATATATATATATATTGGTTTTATTGGTTTTATATTAAATTAATTTTATAAAAATTGATGTTAAAATATATCAATAAAACTATTTGATAAATAATTCATTTATTAAAACTTATTAAAAAAAATAATAAGTCATATTTTATTTAAAACTTATTTTTTTATGGATTTAATATAAAGTTTATTTTGTAATCAATTAAATATTATAGAAAAAATTAATAATATTATGGATCTTGGTTACTTTTCAAACCAGTTATTCAAATAAATCCATCAAATTCAAATTTAATAAAATTATTTCAATTTTCAATCTAATTAAAATCTTTTAATTAAATATATTTTAATTTAAATTGAAATTTAACAAATACAAAAAATATTCAACAATACACAAATCATAATTTAAAAATGTTTTTGCTTTTTTATATTATTTATCGATTTACAGTATACGGTATAACGATAAAGTGAATATCAAGTTTAATCTATTATTTCAAGTGACAATTTCACATATTACTTTTTTAAAAAATTATTAATATATTTTAAAATACAGTATATTTGATAATATACAGTATTTAATATTTATAACAAATGATTTCTTGGTTTCGTTATAAACTTAATACAGTTACGTATATTAAAAAATTTTTTAAAAAAAAAAACTTGACATCAATCAATTATTTATATCATTAATTATATAAGTGTTTTAAAAAAATGTCTGTGCATATACATTCCATATATTGTAAAAATAAAAATTATCTAAAAGTTTAATCGATTTTGATTATTATTATGCAACTTTATTTTTTTTTTTGATATTGATTTTATATTGATTTGTGCTTATGTGCATGTTTTCAATTATTTAAGTAGTATAGTATAAATAAATGATGATGACAATAAATTTTTTTGGAAGTTTAATTTAGATAATTATTATACAATTTTTATTGATTTATTTTAAAGTTGCTTTATACAGTACGTATATCGAGATGTATTTTCTTTTAGTTGGATCAAATTACAGTATACTTTATAGTATTTAAAAATTCACTTGATAAAAAAAAATCAAGAATCTATTCAAGACGCTAAAAAAATTAGTTTTTCTAGATTTATTATATTTTCAAGGTTATAATAGGTGGGCGTCAAAATATTAGCAATAAATAAAAGCTTAAGTTATTAAACTTGCTTATCTACAATTTTTTTTTATTAATATAACAGTAATTAAATAATTATACGAAATTTAGGATAATAAATTATATAACAAAAATTGAATTCATTACTCGCTAAACAGGACTATTATCAGGGCCGTGCATAAAGGAGGAAAAAATAAATAAATAAATAAAATTAAGCTTGTTGCATTTAACCCGCACGTGTTATACGCAAATAAATAGTTTGTAGTCGATTCTAATCTATGAGTATTATTAAAATAATCGATTCTAATCTATCTAAATAATAATTCGATGGTTTTTAAAAATGGTAATGTATTTTTTAATGTTAAAATTTTGACGAGTATCAACCTGACCGGATTCTAAAAAAATTTATAGAATTTAATTTCAGAAAGATTTTTTGGAATAATCATGGTCATAGTTAAAATAATAAATAAATTAAACCTACCGATGGAATGCACTCGGGAAATCAAAAAATCTACTAATATAAATTGCCTGCGGGTGCGTAACGTACTTGAGTGGTTTTGATTTATTCAGATCTTTGTTGGATTCTTCGATTTCTCTAATTTGCTTAAACATTTCATGAGATTCGTTGTAGCCTTCATCCAAACACATCCACCACTCGTGCAAAGTATTAAATAACTCTAATGCTGTTGGACGATCTCTTGGCTCGGCACTCCAACATCTTTTCATTAGGTCGAGGATTAGTGAAGGGGTGCCGTAATTGATCTTAGGTCTCCGACCTTGGCAAATTTCAAGTGCAAGGTGCGCATCGTGAGGGATATCATGATAAGGCGGAAATCCGCAAAGCACTTCGGACATGATTATTCCAAAAGAATAGATTTCCGAGGCTTGTGTATATTTATTACCCTCTAAAACTTCGGGTGCTATGTATGGGAGTACGCCCAAAACTTGTTGCTTTGTTTTACCGATGGGCAAGTTATTATTTACTCGCTCACTTAAGCCAAAATCGCCTATATACGAAATATCACCACCTCCTATTAACACGTTTCCGCTGTGAAGACCTTTGTGAATCAATTTCCGAGAATGAATGAATTTAAGCCCATAGGAAATGCGCCATAAAATGTTGAGTTTATCGCGCCATGAAAGTTCACTATATTTTCTATCAAGGTATTCTCGAAGGCTTCCTTCGCCCGCAAGTTGGGTGACCACCATATAATTCAAACTATTTGATGGTTTGGTGATACCCAAAACCTTTATAAAAAAATTATTATTATTTAGCCTCTGTTGCGTTTTTATCTAAAAATTAAGAAGAAAGAACGTAAGTATGATCGATATCAAATACAAACTTTATTCTATTGACATAAAAAGAAATGAACTAACTAACCTCTCTTAAGAATTTAATCGGATCACCCGAGTTTTCGATGCTTTTTAAGCAAACATCATTCATGCGACCTCTGTCCCATTTTAGATCATTTGAATTCCATCTTAAAATCGGAAAGTCATAACATTTGGCCGAGTACACGGTTCCAAATCCGCCTTTGGCCAAATATCGAACATTGGTAAATTTTTTGAAGGGAATCCACTCGATAACTTCCTCAATCTGACGTGCATTCAATTGTATGTCTTGAATGAAATGATCGATGTCGTCGTTTCCACTAGTCCATCTCGTAAATTCTTGACGAAAGTGCTCGGAATTACATGGTTGGCACCAGTCATAACCAGTATTAACTCCTCCACATTCGATACAAGTATCCCAGATATTATTGTACATAATGTATTTTAACTTTTGAGATTTAACCAGCTACGCATAACGTTACAAGCTCTAGTCTAAGTACTGTTGGTAACATGATGATTTTGAGGTAGTTTATAACTAGTGAAAACAGCGTAAGTTCATTGAACAATTAATCGGGTCAAGTACAAATAGGATACGTATCTTGTTAAGCACCAATACGTTGCACATAATATATTGTCAAGGATTTGTGCACCGAGATAAGATTTCCTTCACGATTATTCGTTTCCTCTGAGGTCAGCACACCCAACAAATTGATCCATTCAATTTACCTCAAATTATTAAACGCATACATACTGTAAACTCTTTCTATTCAAGAAATTATTAATATGGTGAGATCTCTGTTGATATTTATGTATCGCCGGTTTAACTTCCATAATTACGTTTTACGCTTAAAAAAAGGTATATGGTATATCATGGCCAAAGTGATAGAAGAATGTTGGAGAATACAATCGTTTGAATATACAGTACTTACAATTTGTATTTTGTTTTAGTGCGATCAGTACATAATTAAGAAGAACACGTCACGTGTAAACTTGGAGGAGCAGCAAATGTGATCACTCATAGACAACATACAATGCTAAAATAAACTTATTATCGGACGATCTAATAACCAAAAGAACATACGAGCTGTGGTCGATTCATTTTCTTGTTGGGTATGCTGTAGATAAAACCAAGATTTATCGATCAGAACACTTTGATACGATCGATCCATCCTTCAAAATTTTGAAATATATTAAAATGTAAAAGGTACAATCAATTCAATAGGCAGTTAAATGGAGTTAAATTAAAACATTAATTAATATTATCACGTTTCTTAGGGATAAATTATCGTGATCACGTCCCCCATAAACTTCCTTCATCAAATAAAATACATGCGATTGACTTTCGCAATCGTTTAAATCGTAATACATTACAAACTTTCTAAAATTTCATCTCTGTCTAAATGCAATACCTTCAATTTACTCCTATAATCATCCCAATTTAAGTACGCGCCAATCAACCGCCGATTCCCTTCAAATGCCGCTCGTCCATGCAACACACGCCAATTATCAAATATTAACACCCGCCCCGGACGCAATTGAAACCAATACTCATTCTCCTTATCGCTTAACTCATCATCCCATTTTTTCAATGCCTCGTAAAATTCAAGTACTTGACCAGATGACAGATGATCCATGGTTGATCGATCATCATTGTTATACCGGATTTGATAGAGGGAGTGATCAAGTGGATCGTGATTGAGAATTGGGTGGGCAACAGGAGTGGGTTGAACCAGTGTATTCGAATCTCCAGCTGAATGTGCGGGAATAGGAACCGTGGAAAGGGTATGATAAGAGACGGGCGACTTCATCTTTAATTGTCGGGCGACCCAAAACCCATCTACCAATAACGATTCGCCACCTTTACCATCAAATTCGATCAAGTGAAACATCTGGAGACTAGAATATTTAATCATATTAGTCAAGAGTAGATTTTTACAAAGATCAAGACTAAACATTCGCACCCTGATGGTTCGGTAAAATAGGTATTATCTGTGTGAGCTTTAAGTTTGAGATTCGTATATGCGGTGTCTCCGTGTTCCAGATTGGCCGTAAAATCCCAAAACTTGCCTACAACGAAAAATGAAGAGAAAGAGCTCTTTTTAACTCATTCGCGATTTAAACAGAAAATTATATAAAAGTACCATAATGAGTTTCTCGAATGAAACAAATCCTTCTTGCCAATTCTTCAGTTTCTTTGACCGATGGAGGCACACCATTTACAAAACAGAATCCATATTCATTCTATCAAGGTGACATCGGAGTTTTAACATGATTACACGAAATGAATTTCATCATCATTTACTGATCTTGAAATGATCCAGCATAAATATCAATTATCATATATACATACAATCTTCTTTAACCAATCTGCCAAGCCTTCACTTGTTTGCATGACCTATGGAGGATGAGATTTTTATATGAATTCCATCAATAAGATGATAATGAAGGTGAACATGGTCTTCCTTATCTCATGCACATACATCTTCGTATTGTACTGCTGGTGGACAATCCTTGATCTCAGCATTCCACAAGATTTTTCTGAGATAAAAAAGGATTTCAATTAGAAAACAAGTAAGTCTGCCTATTTAAATAACAATCCATTCTTTTTAAAAAATAATTTCTTTAACATATATGGGCCAACCGAATTCTCTCACCTGTTCCAGATCTGCTGAGTATCCATGAATTTTGGATCGTATGAGTGCCTTCTCAGCCAACTCCATCCGAAAAAACTTTTGTGACCATCACTCCCTGTGATTGAACACGCATTAGAAATAAAGATGATACCATCACAAAGGATCACAATCGTAAACAAAACATACAATGAATTCTCAGCCCATTTATTTCAGGAGATACGGACAGTGGCTTGATATTCTTTGGAATCTAAGAAAATGAAACGAGATGATGTCAACGAATGATTGCATTCATTCATTACGTTCGTCTACTTTTTTTAAAGAATATAGATCAACATTTAAAAAAAATATAAATAACGTCATACCGAAAACGTATCTAAAAGTCGTTGCCTCGTAATCTGGTGATAACATTTCGAGCATTTGCAATGATCTCTCAACCAAATGTTGTGGCTATCATGTTAGAATGCATGCGCGAAGGGTTGATATTTGAGGCAAAAAATAAAATAATAATAAATAAGTAAATAATAATAATAATAAACAAATTCAATAAGTTGTGAAAAAAAAAAAGGCATTTACAATTTACTTGTCTGTTCATCCTGCCAATCGATTAATACCTTTGATTTGGTGATGGAAACTGTTATGGATCTCGATGCTACCGAGCTTGATTCTATCTGTAAATAGCATAATTTCATTCTCTCTTTATAGACCCTTGTAATATGACAAAACGTTCATGCAAAAAAATCTCGGAACCTCTGAATATCTTCGCAAAGGGATCCGACCAAAATCGATTAGGCTTGATCCATTTCTCGCCTCCTTGATTCCCTCGATTGAGTTTAAAAAAGGTATGCGAGAAATGCGGTTGCTCCGACTCGGCACATAAAACCGTCTTGATATAAATGATTTTACATCCAATCTCCCGGTAAAATGAAATTTTTTATAGAGGTTCGATGGAGGTAACTGGGATTTTCCGTTATTAAGAATTGAATCCCTGAAACAACCAAAGTGGCCCGAATAAGAAAATAGATTTGAGCGACTCATTTGAGAAGACAAAAATTGATCAGCATGAAGATGAATGGCAGATATAACCATAATGTTCACAATATGCAACTAAATCGAGAATTAATGCTGCAACTCCACGAGAATTAGTGTAGCCATTACTTTTTGTTCTATTTCTCTCTCCTCCAAGCACAATTTCAGGATATCAAATGTCACTCAAGTCATATAAGCATAACCAAGCAAAATGCCATCTAATTGTTTTATTCGAGAAAAGGTGCGAAATACGCACAAAGGAGATCGCACGAAATTGGTTTATTACAAATATTTACTGCCTCGTTTTATTTTTTCACACGATCCGAATTGAGTCTAATGCCATAGTATTCCATATCAGTACAGTAAAATCTAAATCGTGAGACATTAAATGTCTGTTCTTCAGAAATGTTAGTAGCGTATTATTATTATTATTATATTTTTTGGGTATAAATTTGTCTCTGCGAACTTTCATCCCATTAGCATATACGCATATACGTATACTGTACTAATCAAATTTCGGAATTTTGTTTTTTTTTTTTAACAAAATACAGTAATTGAAAAAAACTGATGACTGTATATGTGAACATTTGGTAAGCTGGCAATACCCTCTGCAGGTCGGACCATGCCGAATGATAAATCGGGTCTAGCCTGGATGTTGGAACTAATTCTCACTACGTAAAAATTCTTTTTTAACGCTAAACATGTTCATTACATAAGAATGTTGCACGGCCGTACAATATACTGATACGGCATGGAGAATTCTTGGTGTATCACGGAACCCGAAAGGGTCCCGCGTTGCATTATATACGTACATTGTCACAAGACTGGCCCCTATGAATTAATAATTATCCGGGATATCTTTTCATCAAATCAAGTTCTGATATTCTGCACGACATCCGCATATGTAGCATCTACGCAAGTTCGTAAGTCGGCAAACAATCTCCATTTTGTTTGCCGACCATAAATAAAACTGCCATACCGTACGTAGTATGTTTTTCTTCACGGTGATCAATTTGTGACCCTACTCTTCTTTCTCCAAGAATTATCATTGACTGACTGATTGAGAAAAAAAAATGCCTGCCAGAAAAAAAGTATCCGTTGAATCGTCTTCCACATCCACGTCCGTTCAACTTCCGAATGATACCTCCACATCTTCCCGCAATTCCTCTTCTAAAACTCCTTCAAAAACAAAAACAAGTCCGACAATCAACCTAGTCTTCTCCAAGAAGTATACCTACCCGATAAATCGCCGTGGAGCCGATTACAAAAAACTCTCGAAATTTATCGCAGAGGCCCTACGATACATAAATACTTTTAATTACCCGTATGAAATGTTTTATGATTTAGATGGGAAGGAATATGCGTTTAAGTCGAGTACCGATGACACCATGAAAATACTGAAAGACATCCTTGAGGGTGATGATGGACAGCGCGTCGATACTGTTTACATTTTGGCAGAACGCAAGGTCTGTAATTAGGATAACATGATTGAAAATAGTTTGTTCTCGTTACGAGAAATTTTATTGAAACTTTACTTTTAACATGTATACATGCTCTCCACTCACTCTTGCAATCACTCTGTAACAGGTCGGAATTCAAACGTTTTTCGCATATAACATGGATTTTATAGTGTTCATAATATTCTTATGCAACTTGTCATGGTTCATTCTTGTGGGAACGCAAGAGACAAAGATGGCATCAATCGTCATAGGGGTTGGGTTGGGCCTTTGGTTGTACTGGAAATATTTGAGATAGGCAATGTAAAGTAAGCAAGCAAAGAATTAGGATACAAAACGATTTGGAAAATGAAAGCCAAGGTAGAATTGTGGACATAATATCACATACGACACAACTTTATTAATATAATGGGAAATGTTCGTTTATCTTAACATATATATATATATATAATTATGCGATTCTTGGGATTGCGTTATATAGAAGCGCATCTGTATTTATTTATTTATCACGCCCCACTTCAGTCTCGCTGCCAACCCCTGGGAATGATCGCATCATTAATTTTCATCTTTGTAATAAAAACATTTGGTAGTAATTCTTGTGGGCGATGGCAGATTCTTGTCTTTATATATTTACAGTAAATAGAGATTTTTTTTAATTCACTTACATTTAGTGTTTGTCCGAGTCGATGTGCTTCTCCTGTACATCGTTGGGCCATGCAAAAACTGGCATGAAAAGAAATTGTATTCATAGTGTATTTGTTATTTAGAAAAAAAAAATCAATCTTACTTATCAACTGCACTCGAAAATATAATAGTATGCTGTACAGTATAAGAAAAATAATAAAATACTGTTTCTTAAAAAAAAAGAACATAACATACGTCGAGATTTATTTGAAATAAAAAATATAATATACGTAGTGATTACCTATTTCTTGTCTTTAAAGAAAATTCTATCTTTAAAAAGATAACAATAGCTGCCGTAAAATAATGATGATGATAAATTTTTGTTATGACATTTCGAAATTTTCACGATTATGATTTTGAATATATTAAAATAACAATAATACTCTGTTATTTAACGTAATTTATTAGACTAAAGCTATTTTGCAAAATATTTTATTAGATATTTTTATGACAGCTTGTCATTTAGTTCTAGAAATAAACAATTTATCTTTAGTAGTTTTTATCAGTTAATTTATCAGAGCTTTATCAATATCAAGTAAAATATTACTGTGTAGCATTTGTGAATACCATGCAAATTATTTACAGTAATAAGTTTTTTATAGACTGTAGTTGTTAACTATTTATAAATACGTATTTGAATTATAGCCCATTAAATACAAATTAATAAAATCCATGTCAAAGTTTTATTAAAAATAGAAATATTCAGCAATTATTAAAAACATTTGATAATATAAAATTAAAATCTGTAACAATAAAATGTCATAGCATTTAACAATCCAATACTTGAAGAATTTAAAAAATTTATATTTAAATTTGAAATAATAACAATCCTCAATTTTTTATTTTTAACAATTTAATTTAAACATTTGACAAAACTATTCTTTATTATACATTTTGATAAAATTAAAAAATTACAATTTATAAAATATTAAATTTATTATTATATTTTTTAATAATAATATTGATAAATTATAATTAATACTTGATAAATTTATTAAAATATTTTTTAAAATAATTAAATATATAGTATATAATTTGATTTAATTATTTATTAGAATTTTTATTTTTTTTCTTATATTTATTTTTTATTTTATGTTAATTTATTATAGTTTTATATTATATTTTTTTAATTTTTGTTTTTGATATTGCCTTAAATTTTGTTTAATCATATACTTTTATTAATTTGATACTTTTTTAAAAAAAAATTTAGAAATAATTTCTTATAATTAATAATTAATAATCAGTAATCTTATTTGGTTTTTTTACTTTTTATTTTATTTTTCAATCAACTTGATATGTTTTTAATAATATTTTATTATAACAATAAAATTTAAATACATAATTAAATTAATTTGAATATTTATTTAAATTATTTATAAAATGTTTAACTATTAATTATAATTATTTAATAAATAATAACTTAATTATTTGATATAAAAATTTTTATTCAAAAAAAATATTCTAATAAAATATCAATTATAATTATATATTTAGAATTTCAAATCAATATCAAAAATATTGGCTTATAAGAAATTAATATATATTAAAACTCTTTTTCACAAATCAATTTTTTGTTAAAAATTTCCTTATTTGGTAATAGTCTTTACAGGAAACTTTTCAAGTCCAATGTATCTTCAAATGCACTTCACAAAAAACAGTTCCTATATGTAACTATTCACTAGAATTGAAATCAACTCTTTCAAATTTTCTATCTTGACCTCTTTGACAATCAAATAATCAAAACAGATTTTTCAGGAAATCTTTTTATTCCAAATTCGCCAATTTTCCCAACCAATTCCTCATCATAAAAGAGAGAAAAAACATAAAAGAAATTGTTAAAACTGGCTTTACAAATAATATTTGAATTATTAATTTTACAACTGAAAATATTAAAAAAAGTAGCAAAGAATAATATTCTCAAATTTGTATCAAGCTATCAAATATAAGAAATATTTTTCTCAATTTCCAATATATTAATAACATAGTGAAAAAAATAAAAAAAACTCATCTTAACATTAAACTCTACAACTGTCTACAAGAATTTTTCTCTCTTTCTCAGGAAAAAACAAGAAACTCTACTCAGTTTACTTCTGAAAATGATCTACTGCCTATTACTTCACTTGTCTTCCAAAATATGGATATTATTTAATTAACTCAAATGCATATATATGCAAACCCCCTAACTATCAATTCAGCCATATCCAAATATGTCAATCCTAATAAAATCAGCAAAACAATAAACGAACCAATGAAACTATCTGATTTAGATTCCTTATCTACAAATTTTTCACAATTAAATACTACTTATAACTAACCAATCACTAACTCACCTGACAATTCCATCACTATCTTCAACTTTATGAATATCAGCGAAATAAAATTTACAAGTCAATTACAATTTATTAATTTTGAAAATATTATTAATCTGGATCAACTCTTCAAATCCACGATTACCACTAACCAATCACCTCAATCAAAACACTTGGACATTCTTTTTTGATTGACAAATCCAAGAGGAATCGCAACAAATTTATAATGTAAAACAATATAAAAGTTTCTGTAATGAAACAGAAACATTAGCAAATCAACTTTTTTCAGCACCTAACAATATTTCTACAATTATTAAAATTCTAACCAAAATTAAAAAACTATTCAAATATCTCCATATTTTCTCCAACCCATTTTTAACAAACTCAAATTCAAAGACTGCATCTTCTTTAGTTTCTTTACTTCCAAAGAAACAATAAAACCAGCACATCAAAAAGAATCCAATAAAATTAAAAAGAATTTTCAGAAAAAATACAAAAAAAAATAAAATCTTAATTTCATCAAATTCAAAACAAAAAAAAAATCTGTATAATAGTGTATACAATCCTATTGACTATCTATCTTAGAACTATCAATATTAATAGCATGTCCTTCTATAAACTTGTAAGCCTTCTTACATACTTCATTAATTATTTTATTGGAAAACTACAATTTATTATTAACTTCAATGAACTTAAGAAAAAACTCAAGGAATATTCTGATAATATTCTCTTAGAACTTTTATTTTTTTCAACTAAAATTCTACCAAACATTAAAATCAAACTTCTATACAACCTTTTCTTACAAAACAAATTACAACTTATTCCAATTTTACATATACTCAGATCCTATTACAAGTTTCAAAAACTTATAGATTACTTCTTCAAAATTAACCTATCACTTTCAGCAAGTCCCAATGACCTACTTCTAAAATACAAGAAAATATTTTCAATTAAGAAACACAGCAAACTAAACAAACTCTCTGAATTAAAAAATCTCCTCCATGAAAATTACTAAGTCCCCCAAACTTCCAGAAACTTTATTTAAACTTCTACTATCAAAAAAAACCATTACCTTCAATATACCACCTTCTTGAACCAAAATACAAAAATCTTTTTCCCTTAAATCTTAAAGATAGTATCTTAACAATTCAAGAACTAACAATACTTCTTTGCAAAACCTATTACTTCAAACTCTTACCAAATGATTTCATTTATATCAGAAAAGAACTTTCTTTTTCTCTTAACAAAGTTTTAGATCTAGAAAAAATATTCCTTTACCTCTAACAAACTTTTTGACATATTAACCCTTTTTAAATTCTCTCTCAAAAAAATATCTTTTTCAAATTTCTTTTCCAAAGGAATGAATCAATATCCAAAAACAAAAAAATACAAATAAACATAACCAATAATTACTAACAAAGTCATATTTTCCAATAGAATTTATTATAGTTAATGAAAAGGCCAATACCAATTTGCTAATAATAGATAAAAAATTCTTTAGAAAAAATATAATCAAGGCATATCATTACTACCAATTCTTCAAAATTCCAGAAAATTAAATTCAAATCAAATACAAACCTCCCATTTCAAATTCTATAGAACTCAAAAATTACTTAATTGAAAACAATATCAATATAGACATTCCTATTGTCAACAATACTAAATTTACTTCAAAAATTCAAAAGCTTAGAGAACACTTTGTTTTTCAATGTCTCACCAATAAATATATTATCTAATTAAACTTTCTGAACCAACGACAATTTTTTTGACAGATTATTGTAAAAGTATTGAAAAATATATAAAAAATATATTTATCAATTAATAATATTTAAAAACTTGTATAATATTTTAAAATAAATTAAATAGTAAATATATTTGTTTATAGCTTTTAAGATAATATCAATCAAATTATAATACTCTGTTCTTAAGAATTTGGTATACAATGTTTTTAGTATTGATAAAACATTGTTAGATCCACTTAACACCACAATTGGCTTTGCCAATATTACAACATGGAAAATTTTATCAAAAATTATAAGATATTTTAAAGAATTATTTAAAAACAATACATATAAATATATCTATATAGTGTAAATTTTTGAAAAAGTAAGATCTAGAAAAGAAACCCATGACAAGTATATTGTCTTTGCTATATTAATATATAAAACAATTTTGAATTTTAAAAATAATATAATTTAAATTAAAAAAAATTTGATAAAACCCAAATACTAAAAAACAAATACTATAAATTTGAATTTTTTATAAAATAATTTAAAAAATTTTATTTAATTTTACAATGCTATAG